TCCCAAAACAAACTTGTTTGTTCTTTTGACAGTCCATGGTATATTCAACGTTCTCCAACAACACCATGTTTCAAACACATCATATTTTTTCCTGTCTTCCCTATTCACTGTCCAGCTCTCCTGTGCTTTTGAGGTAACTGAAAATACCATGGCTTGGATCAGGTTCACCTTAGTCTTTGAATTGACACCTTTCTTCCTTAGCATGTTAACAGAGGTACCTTGCAGCAAATTTGCCCAAAGCAATACATCATTCAATTTCTTGACTGCTGCTTCCGTGAGCATTGATTGTGGATCCAGGCAAAATGAAGTATTTGACAATTTCAATCTTTTCTCCATTTATCCTGATGTTATTTATTGATCCATTTGTGAGAATTTTGGTTTTCTTTACATTGAGATACAATCCATAGTGAAGGCTGTAATCTTTGATCTTCATCAGTAAGTGCTTCAAGTCCTCTTCACATCCAGCAAGCAAGGTTCTGCATATCACAGGTTGCTAATGAGCTTTCCTCCAATCCTGATGCCATGTTCTTCTTCACATAGTCCAGTTTCTAGGATTATTTCCTCTGCATATAGATTAAGTAAGTATGGTGAATGGATACAACATTGACACATAGTTTCCTTGACTGAACCAGGCAGAATAACCTTGTTCTATTTGAACTATTGCCTATTGGTCTATGTACAGATCCTCATGAGTACAATTACATGTTCTGGAATACCCATTATTTGCAATGTTATCCATAGTTTGTTATGATCCACACAGATGAATGCCTTTGCATAGTCAATAAAGCATAGTAAACATCTGGTAATCTCTGCTTTCAGTCAAGATCCATCTGACATCAGCATTGATATACCTCTTTCCATATCCTCTTCTGAATCCAGCTTGAATTTCTGGCAGTTCTCTGTCAAAGTATTGCTGCACTGATTTAAAATTTTTAATCAACAAACATTTGCTTACATGTTACATTAATGATACGCTTTGATAATTTCTGCACACCATTTGTTTACTATTCTTTGAAATGGGCACAATGAATCTTTTCCAGTTAATTGGTCAGGTAGCTGTCTTCCAAATCTCATGGCATAGACTAGTGAGTGCCTCTAGCACTAATAAGTTTGTTGAAACATCTCAATTTATCGATTTCTGGAACCTTGTTTTCATCCAGTGATTTCGGTGCAACTTGGACTTCTTCTTTTAATATTGTCTGTTCTTCATTTTAGGTTGCATCTTGAAACTATTGAATGTTGACATGTTCTTTTGGTATAGTGCCTCTATGTATTCCTTCAATCATTTTTTGATGCTTTCAGTGTCATTCAATATTTTGTCAATTGAATCCTTTAATATTACAACTCAAGGTGTGAACTTTTTTTTCAGTTGTTTCAACTTGGAAATGTGTTTGTCCCTTTTGGTTTTCTAACTCCAAGTCTTTGCACATTTCTGTATAATACTTTACTGTGTCTACTCAAACTGTCCTTCAGCATTTTTCTGTTCAGCTGTTTTACTTCAGCATATCTTCAATTTGTTGTAGCTACTTTACATTCTGATATGTAGGATAAGTACCGGACTGCACCAAAGTTGGTGGTTTAAACTAACCAGCCACTCCTTGGAAACCCTATACAGGATCTCTATGAGTTGGAACTGACTCAAAGGCACTTAACAACAATAACAACATTACGTTGAAGAGGAAGCTTCATAGTAACTTCTGACATACATCTTAGTTTTTTTCTTTCATTCTTGTCTTTTGATGACCTTTTGCTTTATTCATGTATGTTATTCTTGATGTCATCCCACATCTCCTCTAGTCTTCAGTCATTAGTGTTCAGTGCTCCAAATCTATTCTTGAGATGGTTTCTAAATTCAGGTGGTATATACTTAAGCTCATATTTGGGCTCTTGTGACTTATTTAAATTTTCTTCAGCTTTAACCTGAACTTGCATATAAGCAATTGATCTTTGGCTCCTGGCCTTGGGTTGGATGAAAATCTTGATTTGTTTCATCATCTCTTTCCATATACGTAGCCAGTGCATTTAAGCTAGCAAGGTCCACCTGTATAGTCACCATTCATGTTGCTTATAAAAGGTATTGGTAATGAACAAGTGATTGGTTTCACAAAATTCTATCATGTGATCACTAGGATCATTTCTTTCACCAAGATATTTTCCAACTACTCATCTTTTTTGTTTCCAACTTTCACATTCCAATCATCGCTAATTATTAATGCATATTGGTTGTAGATTTGATCAATTTCAAACTGAAGAAGTTGGTAGAATTCTTCAGTTCCTCTTTATCAGTAACTGTAGTGGTTGGTGTATAAATCTGAATAATAATTGTATGTATTATTTGGTCCTCCTTTGTAGATGTGTAAATATCCTGTCACAAACAGTCTAATGCATCAAATATGTTCTTGCGAAGATCTCTAAATTCAGGTGGGATATGTTTAAGGTCATATTTTGACTCTTGTGA